AGTGATAAGAAAACTAACTAGTTCGAAAAAGGTTCTCTGTGCTATTTTGTAGCACCATTAACTACTTTGTCGCCCTTCGTAAGAATAGAAAGTGTCAACGTGCGCCGGAAAATGGCGAATTTTTGTGTGAAAAACTTATTGCCGGACCCTGGCAACGAAAAGTGGATAAATCCTGTTCCTATATGCAGTAGTAGATTACTTCCTTTAACAGGTTCTGTTGCCAGGTGCTTGATACCAAAAAATCGAATATGTGCTTGTTACCGAAGCCCTCTTTAGTTTTAAACGGATATTTTTTATTTTGGGGTTCTTTACATAAAGCCTCAAAAACATTTTCAACGTTTTCTCAAATAGGCTCAAATTTTTATTTATTAAACGATGACCTTGGAGACCGTAAAAAACGCTTAAAAGAATGGTGTACGTCTCATTTTCGTTGAAATTCTTGATTTTTTGAAAATTGCAAAAGTTAAACATTTTTCGGGGTTTTCCTACATCATTGAAGATACAGGATTGAAGATAGAGATATTTTCCTAAATTAAATCTGTTGTTGAAAGATATGTAGAAATAAGGTTATGTACAGTTATGGGTGGGGTACAGTATGGGTATTATTATTATTATTATTATTATTATTATTATTATTATTATTATTATTATTATTATTATTATTTTAATTTTGGGGTTACTTTGCATGAAGGCCCTGGGAAATTTTCAAAAATATGGCTCCATGAGTGTGTGAAAAACGTTCAAGAGAATGATGAAGGCCTCATTTCCGTTTAAAATCCTGCTTTTTCGTAAAATGCAAAATTTCAAAATGTTTTCGGCGTCTTCCTATAACTGCAATTATGAAGATGAGATATTTTCCCTTAATTAAATGTTTCTTAAAGATATATTTTGGAATAAGGTCATATACACTTTTTCGAATATTTGAGTCCGCGTAATTTTGCGTGGAAGAACGGGCGAGAAAGTACGTGCTGTTTTAGCACCATTAGTTTACTGTGAAAGAGTGAACATTTCGTGTGTGGGATTTCGGGGCCTCCCGAAGTCAAAGAACCCGAATGATGACATCCCAATAAAAAAACAGTTATTAACATCAGAATTTTATTTTGGAATATATCATGTCTGACATCTATTAGACCAAAAAAGGCAATGCCGAATGAACATTTTTAACTTTTCAGTGATTCGCTTTTCAATTTTTTTAATTTTTGTATTATTATTATCATTATTATTATTATTATCATTATTATTATTATTATCATTATTATTATTATTATCATTATCATTATTATTATTATTATTATTATTATTATTATTATTATTATTATTATTATTATTATTATTATTATTATTATTATTATTATTACTCCTCCATAATGGGCAGGATTCTGCGCACAGACAGTGAAATGTTGCAGTCTGTAAAACAACGACTGTTGTACATTATATCAGTTAATGTGAGGATCAGTGGCGACGACACTCTAGAAGTGAGTGATAAGCAGATAACCTCTTGCGCTTCCTCTCTCTCTGTTATACTTCTCCCCCATAAGTCACACAGTTCCTACTGTTTTGAACAGAATAAAATCAAATGAGCCCCTCCGAATGGCCAAGATCGTTAAGTACCGTAGCGATCTGGGACAGAAGAATCGCAGGTTTGAATCCCGCCTCGAGCATGGTTGTATTTGTGTTCGTCCTTTCACCCCCCTATCATCACCATATCATGTCATCTTCATAGTTACTATACCATTAAATACAATTGTGGTCGCTAATGACATAATGTTGACGCGACCTTCAATAACAAACCAAAAACAAAGCATCAAATGAAAGGGGAATCAACTGATTCTTGCGTTTTCCGTCCGGGAAATTCTTCTACCTCTTCTGCCCTCGTCGTCTTTCAACGATTTCGAAGTCGAGATCGCATTTCATTTTCTCTTTACAGTTGTTATGTGTTAGCGCCAGGTTTGCATGGTCTGGTGTCCAGATTGAGTGTTTCAGAAGTTCATTCAGAGAACTCGGTTGTGGGGATATGTTTAGGTTAGTGTGTTTAATTGGGGTTGGTAGAACAGTTAATGAGAGAAAAAGGTATTACCTAAGACAAAGTGCATCGTCTCGTGCCGTGGTGCATTTCTTTATTATCGTGTGCATTAAATTGTAACAACAAATGGGAGAATTAACACTTTAGAAAATTATATACCTAAATCTAGCTATTAACATCTAATTATTTGATACCATTATTCTTCAGATTTCAAAAACAAAATTGTAAGTTTGCAAAATTGTCTGTTTAAGGTTAAATATAATGTATATAATGTGTGTGTATGTAAATGAGGTTTAATAGTCCAGTTCCTTGTTTGGGAATGGCTATGAGGGGTCCTATTTGGACCTTCTTCGCCGGAACCACAGAGAATGTAGCTATACCTCTGGTGGGAAAGTTTCTCAGATAACAGTAAAAGGCAAATCTAGGGGGAGGATTATGGGATTCATGCCCTCCTCCCATTCTTTTCATTTTTGTTTTTTATAATTTGCATAATTTATTTTAAAAAAATTGCCGAATATTATCACATCTCATTCAAAATTAGTATTCCTGTTAAATCCAGCCAGCTGTCTTTCAAGAAGAAATTATTTCATGTCATGTCATTTTTATTTATTCCGATTTTCTCCTTATATTAGAGACAATCAGGTAAGAAGATATTCAGTCAGTTTTATCTATTTATTAAAATGAAGTTTTGAAGAGACCGCTCTTCATCATCAGACTGTAACATGTTTCATTGTATATGATTAAACTATCATTCAATTACATAATGTTACTTTGTATTAAAACATTGATCAGTTAAAACATGAAATTTAAATTATGTGAAAATTATTAGAAAAATGAGCCAAAAAATAATAACTAAAAAAACAATTACAAGGAACGTTATACAAAGCCCAAATATGGTCAGCCTACCTTTCTTAAATATTTTAATCCATGGTAAAGGGGATTAATGTTCTCCCATCAGTGTAAACTATGGTTTCCGCCATATATACTGCACACAAGTTGCACATATCTATCAGTCCAGTGTGAAGTTGCAGCAGCTGTGCTGATGTGGTAAATGAGAAAAGTGGAAAGAGGAGAAGGATCTCAATGTGGAAGGCGAGGAGGTTAGGAAGGAAGATAAAATGTGGTACAGTGAATGGGGAAGGGAATTATAAACTGAAATTTAAAATGATTACAAAGTGTAAACTGTTGATTAAGAATTCAGTACCATTGATGGTCTTTTATTATATTGATTGGATGGAAATTACAGGTATCATTACTTCACATGTCAATCTTGCATTTTTTCAGGATTAGTATCTAGTATTTGAACTTTGGAAAATTTTATTGAATGGTTAAAATAGTTTAATGATGAGATATTGCACTTAGTTTTGAAATATTGTGATATCCTTTATAGATGAACTCTCAATCTCAGCAAGGAATTTTATAGGCTGTGCTTTGTCAGTGTTGTCAGCAAACCTTTTGTCTTTCACATTCTTTACTATATTTTCCAAATTAATTACTTTGTTTTGGACTACTATTGTAGTAATACCATCTTTTAATAAGATTTATTAATGTCATTGATAGATATTGCAACATATTCTTGTAACATCCTTAACTTCATAGCTTATATTATCTGTAACGTTGACATCATTCGCAGTTCTTTGTAAATTATGAATGCTAATTTTAGTGATATATTAAAAATGCTGTAGGATAGCCATTTATCTTGAGTAATTCTTTAAATTTATATAATAAAAAGAGTTTCCGCTGCGAAACATTTATCAGACAATCTCGTGACCTCAGAAATATACAAATTAATGATCCCTAACTTCTGTCAAACCAGGTTTTTCTGTTTGATAATTCTGATTCGACCATTCTTATCCATCACAATAATGTCAATAAATGATTGAATAGTCAATGATAGACTGGTCTTTCTTTATTTCACCAGTAAATTTCATACAATGATGATATGAATTAATTTGGCCTGTATATCACATAATTTTGATGGACAATTAACGAAATGACATTTAGATATAATTTGTAAAGTACTATGTTACTATCATTGTTACTATACTTTGGTTTCCATATGACTTGTGGCAACCTCTGAAAACGGAGAACTCTTAGATCCACCAAGGGATGTTCGTCAAGTCAGCTGTATTGTATTTTGTCATTGAATTCGATCTCTGTAATATTCAGAACACATTTTATAATCATTAATATCTTTTTTTTTGGGAATTTGCAATTCTTTAATCTGATATAAATTATATTCTATTGCTTCAATTATAAGTTGAGAGATTGGAGGAAACAGTGCTTCAGAAAAAAGCAGGCTAAAATAGTATATTGTGAGGGTCCCTTAAGAAAGTTGGTTGCTATTTTTGATTAAGTATGCCTTTTTGCATATTTTATGTAGTTTGTAGATTACGTTTTCACTGTTCAATGCAACCTACAATTTAATTTTGTATTGTTAATCATATATAACGAAATGTTTTGCAGCCTAATGTTTAATACTCTTCAAAACATTGTTGTAATAAATGTATAAAATTGACTGAATAACCTCTTCTTACCCAATTGTCTCGAAAATAAGGAGAAAATTGGACTATCGACTTACAAAATTAGTATCAGTTTTCTTTAACATATTAACAGTGGGGGAGAGGATACGTACTTAAATATCCCTCCCTCATCCACTGTGAAATATATTTTGGATTCACCCCTTTGGCAGAGTTTAGGTGTGTAGTTTTTAAATATTGTACCCAATATATTGCCACTATTAATTACTTGTTTTCGTTACTAGTAAGACTGCAATAAACTCTTTTAACAAAACTTTAAAAATTGTCAGTCCCTCTATGAGTGATATTTTTTATTTATATTTTTGTAAAACAAAATAGTCACTGTTTTGCAAAATTAATGGATCTGGGCTCATTCCATTTACTTAAGAATTCTGAGATTACAAGTTTGTGTAAAAATTGATTTGAAGTAATTGTGTGCTATTAATTTTTATGAACAGATCTTCACTGATGGAATCACTAATAAATTAGTTGGCTGCTTCTATGCTGAAGATCCAGATGATGTCATCCTAGTCAGAGTATATGGAAAGAAAACTGATCTATTAATCGACCGGAATGCAGAGACACGGAATATACAGGTAATATTGGAATATACAGGTAATATTTGAACTTTCCTTATTATTTACGCAATGATTCAAATTGAATGTATTTACGCTATTTATTAGAGTGAGGATGATTTGAATAATTTGAATAAATTGTGATTCAAATATTTTAGTCAAAAATTTAAATAAAAAGCTTTTTTGTTCTATTTTTGTCCAAATTTTCTCCTAATTGTGTTTCAATATATGTGCTATAATTTTAATTAATAATATAGACAAATTCATTGATTAACAAAGTGTACAGTAGTAATTTATAATCGTCAATGAAAATATTAAAAAATGATATTTCTGTGGATTTTTGCGACTCCTTTCAAGTCTAAGTATAGAATATCGTTGGTTGGTTGTTAACCAACTGGTTAAATTGCAAGAAAATTGTGCTGAGTATAATTCAAACTTTAAACGTTTGTAACACTGGTTCTCAGCAAATTAATTAAAAATAATTTTTATAAAATATGTTTTAACTGTTCAAAGAATTTAGTACCCTCGCAGGGAATTGAATCCAAACCTGCCGATATATATGCCCATTTTGCTCTAACCACTTGAACTACAGACAGTCAACTCTTAAGGAGACAAGAGCCCTAACAGATACACTACACATTTCACCACACATTTCAATGTACATTCGCATAGGAAGTTCTCGGAGGCCCTGGACCAGAAGATTCAAATGTGGCCCCCAACTACTGTGATAAGTTTTTGATCTAATTTATAAAGGAATATTTTACTTTATAAATTAGATTTAACAAGCAAAAAATTATTCTCTATGTTATTGCCATCAAATTTCTCAATCCTGGGCCAATATTCTGAAAAGGAATTCATAAAATGTTAATCCATAAATTATGTAAAGTAGAATAGGGAACAATACAAATTTAATATATCTTGTGAAACACAAGCAACCCAACTTGCTCTCATATTCTGAACTCTTGCCATTACAAATGGACGTTTTTTTTTTTTTTAGAATACTGGCCCTGCTCGTGAGATAAGTGTCAGAAGTAGCACAGCTAATTGCAGTGAGCATAAATATGCAGACAAAGCAATGTAGATGCTGTGAATACCGCCTAACTCAACCCTAGGCCCTCCAGAACATTCTTTGTTATTATTGTCGTTTCTTGAAATAATTCTTCCTCTTTCATTTGCACTAATTAATATACAATATAACCTTATTAAAATATTCTGGGGATAAGGAATTTGTTACATTAAATAAGGTGATTGATAAAGAAGAACGGTGATGAAGAAATGGAGAGACAAAAATGTTCAAAAACTCAAATGCTAACATCCTTTTGAAAAAATGCAGCAGGGTTTTCAATTGAGAGGAATTGTTTCATTCAATTAATAAGTGTGAACAGTACTTTGAAAGAAATGTGTCACTTGTATGATAAAAATATTTGTTCATTTGTTTTAATTTCGATTCAAGCATTTGGTCATGTACATTTGTAATAATTCCATGTTACTAGCCTAATAATAAGTATGTGGTATGCATGATTAAAATATTTTCGTTCTTCTTTATTATTTTGTATTTTATTTATGAGTTTCCACCAAAATTGTTTAAAAGCAATTGTTAAGAGTATTTCATGTGAATTCCTATTCATGAAAGTGTCTATAAATCTAATGTTATCAAAGGAACTGTCAGATTCGAAATGTACATTTCACCATATAAATTAAAGAATAATATATCCATCAGGCCTCTTATTTCTGTAAAGCAGAAGAATTGACTGTTTTGGTAGTTCAAGTGGTTAGAGTAACTGGACATAAACCAGCATGAAACTGTATTTGAATCCTTGCTGGCACAGTCAATTCTTTGAACACTCAAAGCAAAACTTTAACAATTACAACACGTTTAGTAGCTATGGTGTTGGGTGTTGCAATGCAAACTGGTTGACAATTGCAAAACTGGAAAAGTTTTGATAAACTTTCAACTGTGACCAGATTGTGAAATATGTAAAAATTATTTTGTTTTAATTTGTTATAAATAAACCTAATATTGCAATACTTAGGTTATGTTGCTGAAACCCTCACTAAATATTACATCTTATTATAAATATTTAAAGAACTATTGACCTGTATCATGTCCTGTGCATCACCTTAATATTTTATTTTTTTTCTCATCTAGAGGTACGGCTCGGATCAGGCTTCAGCCTATCATCTGCATATTTGCAGTAAAGATAGTCTTTCATGCTACATGATGAATTCTTTCATATGAAAATTACATCAGACTTTGACATAACATTGAATTACATTGTGTAATGCCTTGCCTTACCACTGCCTTGCCTATTTATTTATGAATCTGTAATGTTTGTCAAAACAGACTTGCTTAACTGCGGGGACAGATTTTCATGCAAAACTGATATTTATAATTACAACACATAGAAACCACATTCATCAAGTGTCAGTATCAACAGCTCACTATAAGAAATCCACATACAACACATGTACGTTACTTTGCAACGCAATGCCAGATGACATTAAACAGTTGAAGTCGGTTCGCAAATTTAAGTTAAAAGTAAAATCTTTTCTATTGCATAACTATTTCTATACTGTTAGAGACTATACTGATCATCAAAAAGAAAAATAATGTTTATTTTAGCAAAACAGTGATATATAATGAATTAGTTTACATTTATATTGTATAATTTTTTAAAAAGACTTAATATGCTTGTAACAAATAATGTACTTCAGCTTCCGGGCCAATGATCCCCCATCCCAATCAGGTTTTTGTCCAGTTTCCCTGATGCATTGAGCAAATGCTGAGATGGCCTCTTGTTTTGCTACTGGATTTAAGTGTAGCTTCACTATGTGCGTGTTTTGTGGAACTCTCCTTTTGCTTGAAATAGTAGAAGTAGAGGTAAGGGCGAGTTACTGTTTTGTTAGCAATGCAGAAAAATCATATCTGCAATTTGTTTAACGATGCAAATCAGTTTTCTATAGCTCAAGAACGAAAAATATCCAGTTTCTTCAAATATAGCTAATCTCAAGTTTTTAAAAAAAATTATTTTTTATTTATTTATCTTTAACTTTTACTCATCTTTCAACTATATATATACATCGATATACAAAAAAATCATTGATATAACAGTGAAATAGGTACTATCATAATACCTATTGTAGTGTTATATTTTGCTATGTTATTTTTTGCTTTTGCACCAAATATTACAAAACTGCCATTTAAAAAGCAAGAATTTTGTTGCTAGATCAACAACATATTGATTACACATTTCAATGTGAAACAAAGCTGTTTCAACTCTACTGAATCCCCTAGTATTTATGTATTGATTAAAGAACGGAAGAGAAACGAGTATCAAGTGGCACTAAAGTGGCAGGAGAGCAAGATATTAGGATTGCCAGCCATAAAAGTAAAACTATTATAATATTTATCATTTTTCTTCTGATATCTAGAGTTAATAAATCTAGTGAGACAATTTAATCCCCAAAACATTTAATATAAAGTCTGTATTGATGATCACAAGTTAAAATTATGAATAAACAACGTATAGCAATTACAGTTATGTAATTAACTAATTGTCATTGAGAAATTTTAAATTGTTTTTCTCTTTTTGCAGATATTGCATACTTATGGTTATGCTCCTAATTTGTATGCAACGTTCAAAAACGGTTTGGCCTATGAATATGTACCTGGAGATATCTTGACAGTGGACACCTGTCGAGATATTAAAGTGTATCCACTTGTTGCATGTATGATGGCAAAGATGCATCATGTGGATTGTGGACCTACTATTTCTAAGGAACCTTGCATGTGGACCAAAACTCGCCAGTTCATGAGCATAATGCCTAATCATTTCACAAATGCAGAAAAACAAACAAGGTAATGGAAATTAATATTCTAATTTTTCATCTTTACTGGTAGTCTAATGACAGAAATTCTTTAATTATATTGCTTTGCCAACAGATTTGAACAGTTAATACCAACAAAACAAGAATTGGAATCAGAATATGAAATATTAAAGAATGAGTTAATCAATTTGGGAAGCCCAATTGTGCTTAGCCACAATGATTTGTTGCTTGGAAATGTGATTTATAATCCAAAGAAAAATAATGTGACATTCATAGATTATGAATATGCCAATTATAACTACCAAGCATTTGACATTGGTAATCATTTTGCTGAGTTCGCTGGTAAGTTATTGCCGAAGTAGTTACTGTTTAATATTTGTCTATTGTAATGTATAAATTCTGAAGTGTTGAAAATTTCATAAAAGCTTTAATATCAGAAGAGTACAATAATGCTGATATAAAATAGTTCCACACTTTGACCATTTCCTTCGAGATGGGTGAACTAAATAATGATCTTTGGTAGGTGTATCTGATGTCGATTATTCAAGATATCCATCTGAAGAATTCCAACGCGAGTGGCTGAAAGTGTATCTTGAAGAGTATCGTAATTCACAAAACGTATCTAATGACTGCTGCCACGAAACATCAGAACATGATATAGATGTGCTGTATGTGCAGGTTAATAAATTTTCACTAATGGCTCACTTTTTTTGGGCAATATGGGCTCTCATTCAAGCAGAACATTCTACAATTGATTTTGATTTTCTGGGGTAAGTACAGAAAGAGTTTTTCAGGTGTTTTAGAAGTGGTGCACAGTGGAAAAGTGGGAATGTACTATCTTCCTGAAAGTGTCAGTGTGATCATGCTCTCTTTTAAATTAAACTAAAAAAAAAATACTCATTTCACTGGAATGCTTTCTTTCTTTGAGCTTGAGCATTTAAATATTGTAATTTTTATGTTGCTAAATTACATTAAATTGGAATTCTATGTCACAGATATTAATAGAGTAAGTTCATTTCGATCATATCCTTATCTTTTTAATATAAAATTCTAGTACATCTAATATGGTTGTTCATAGTTCTTTGTTTTTTAGATTAAACTAAAACAAATCACACAATGAGACAAATGAAATGTGTAATCTCAAATACACTATTAAATTAACAAAACAAAAAAAACAACAACAACAACAACAACGAAAGAGTTCTTAAAATTTCTGTCTGAAGTGAATCAAAGTAAGAAAGCAAAATCAAAATGTTAACATTGGTGAACACCATTTGGTTTTCTGCAGACTTGCTTCTTTATGATTTTTATATTACAGAGTGCAAGAGTTTAATCTATTGATGTTCAAATTCAGTAGTTATTTTTACATAATAAAAAAAATATTGTCTTGCATTTGGAGAATGACGAATGTGATCTTAGTAACAAGTATCAGTGTATCTTTTCTCAAGCTCTTGGCAATACTTCCTGATTGACGAAGATTTCAGTTTAGAAAGAGGTGGCTTAATTATGTAGTATTAATTTCTTTGTATTAGCAGCAGTATAGTAATGTGACAGGAAATATCACAAAAGTCTTGTGTATTTGACATTACCTGGAAAAGTAATGGAAGTGTAAGGGAATTATTGCTGTTACATTGTGTTATTTGGATCAATACAGTTTATTTATTACAGTAAGCCTATTGAAATGTGTTGTACATGATCAGAAAATGGGAAATGAAGCCTTATTCTCTTCTTTGGATGAGGAGCACTTTCGTCATCTGCCACCTTCTTACTATGAGGAATAGCTCATTGTTTCTTACAATATATGGGTGTTAACAAATGAGGATAAATAATAATTGTTTATTATCATCCTTATCAAGCATGCATTGAACTTTTAACCAAGCAAGATATTGTGTAATCAAGGTGTTAATCTTAATATTTTCAAGGTGTAATTATTATAGAGGCTGAAAATTCTTTGGATGATCTTTTTTGTTGAGACTTCATCACTAATTATCAACCTGTCATTAACTTTCAAGAGTGAATGATTTTCAATATCTTCATATCATTGTATTATCAGTAAATACAAATAATTTCATTTTTATATTATACTACAGTTTTAGCATGCAACAATCTTTGCCCCAATAATTTTTTGTATTGATCATCCACATTATTTTTAATATAAATGTGTTGCCTCTTTTTATAATTGGGAGTTACTCTCTTTGTGTTTTAAAGTTTTAACAACTGTAATTTTTGCTCTTTCTTTTTTTTTTCCATTGTTCAATGACCCCTGATAGTTCTTTAAAAAATTATTTAATACTAAATATTTAAAAAAATAAAATAAAAACCATATACATATGTATGATTAAAATATACATGCTTTTTTTCCAAGGGCCTCCAAAGGTGCTAAAATGGCCCTGTCATCTATCCCTTTCTGTTTAACTTGTGTCATGGTTAAAAGTTCGATGCAAATTCTTCTTTCTCTGAACCCACATTATTATTCAGATTTTAATCTGTTATGTTGGCCTTAGCTCAATAGGCTCCATTAGCAGTCTTTAATCCTATTAGTCAAAAATCTTGTACATCAAAAAGGTGACTGGCTTCTTTAGAATTCTTGCTCTGGACCATGTTTTCGCTTTTTGAAAATTGGTGTTATTTGGTCTTCCATTCTATGGATATGTAACATATATAGTATGTTAATAACTTTATTTATTAGCTTTAGTTAATATTTTATTAAGTTTAATGTTCTGTTCTTTAATAGTTCTCTAAACATAAAGTAATCGCACACATAATTGTGATAATATTGTAAAATAATACATTTTGCCCTGGATGTGTACAAGCTAGTAAACAAATTTTAATTTAAATTATCCCCCCTGTGCGTATTTAGGGTTTTATTTTCTTGAATAGTTGTGTCACTGATCAAATTACAGATTTTTCAATGAAATAATTCTATAAATCAAAAGCACAAATCATTGATATTGGTCAGGCTGCAGAATATTTTCCCCGTAATAAATACTAATTCTCACCCTACTAGGTTGAGCAAGACCGAATGTTGTTTGCAAGAATAAATGTTTCAATTCCCTTTTTTTCAAATAATTTTCTTACCATTGCAAATCTTAAATTAGATCTAAATGTGGAAAATATACTCAAGTGACACAAGTGAAAGAAAGAACACTTATCTTCTTAGAGTCAAAAAGGGAAATGGGCATTCAGAATTTAATGAAAAATATTTTCGAGAATTATTAATTGACAATTCACTAATATTGTTTAATTTATATTCTGTTTTCATTTTATATGAAATTAATTTGCATTTATTATTATTACTTTTAAAATATAAAACTTAGAAATATATTTATCTTATAGGCAAAGTATTTTATTAAAAAATTATAATAATTTGTAGACTAATTACGCTTCAAATTTGCTAATGTGATTGCACAACTTCTGTTTTAGATATGCATCTATTCGTTTAAAAGAGTACTTTGCCAGAAAAGACGCTTTTCTCTCCTTGAAGATGCCTGTTTCATGATAGCAGAGTATATTTTTAAGTGCTCATATTCTTACTTTTTGTACATAAACCTTTTCTATTGTGAATAAAATAGGACCTATATTGTTGTTTTATACTATATTTTATGCATTATGTAATAATCATGAGGTTTAGTACCACATTTTACAATGTGAAACTATTTTACCAAAACTGAAAGTGTGCATATGATTGAGATTATTGCATTTATTTGTAAGACTTTGTGTACAATCAAATCACTGTTTCAACTTGTGTTCTGTGTACATTGAATCAGTAAAAAAGTTTTTAAAATGGCGATATACTTACAAATTGGACCAAATATAATGTGTATGTACATATGTCTTGTCAATTTTTGTCTGTTATTGCAGGTTTAAAAGTTCCATTGATTGGTGTTCAATGTGCATAGCTAATATTTGTATCTTTGTAGTGTAATATTGTACATCTAGAAGTTTGTGAACAATTCATGTTAGTAAAACAATGACAAAAAGAGTGATGTTCTCCTGCATACCCGTATTAGATGTTAACAAAAAATTATATTTATTGTACTTCCATGTATTTTTTCTTCTTTGTTTTTAAGTTATAGATGAATTCTGAAAGATTATTTCTCACTTTCAAAGAAAGGTGTATAATACATCTGTTTTCTTCTATGTGTCGTATACCCATACAATTGCATATAGGATTGAAAATCTCTGTTAAATGTTATATGAAACTTTGTAAGAAGTATTTAGTGTAGCTTTGGTTGCTTGCCATGTGCAATGTCTTTATAAATAATTTTATAGGTTTCTTTTTCATTGGAACAGATTTCTATAAGATATTGTTTAAAAGTAAGCATCTGTAGGTCTGAGAACTGCAGAAAATAGAATAACGATCGGTTATGATTTTCAAACTTCTTGATTTGGATTCTCTGCCGTGTCCTCTGTGATCAACTGTAACTCTCGTTAAGATGCAGTTGTTAACTTCCAAACAAACTTCCCCACCAGATAAGTATTTTTTTACCTTGTCTTCCAAGCCTGTTTATGCTTACATAGAACGTAATATATAGATTTTAAAATATTCCTTTGAACCAAAAACCCCATTTTGTAAATAAGAAAGCTAAAGAGTAGGGTCAGTGACTTTTCCATGTTTATACTGACTGACATTTACCATTATAAAAATGAAAGGGCTGTGCTGGACTTGAAGGTATGATGTTTACTATTTAAAGACCAGAAGGCTGTGCTCCTAGGAAGAGCTACTTTTCTGCAGCATTTTTTTGGTTTTTGTTTCATGATCTGTGTTGTTTTATAAACACTTAATTTTACTGAAAAATATTTCCGATTATTTTTATTAGATTCATAACTTTTTTTTTTTTTTTTAATAGTGGTACAAGGTGATGTAAAGTAAACTGTATGTTTCTAAAACAGTCCAATACAAAACATTCCACAAAATCTCATTGTGACATTTTGTAACACATATCACATCTAAAGATGGGATTTGCAAATTTAGTTATATCATGTGAATCATATTTGTATTTTGGCTCTTTGACTTATACCATAGTTGTCGCATCTAGTCTGTGCTATTTAATTGTTTATATACTTTTGCAGAAAAGCATTTCATTGTACCATAATAAAGAAATAAATTCTTTTTATTTATTTTGTTTTCAGTAATTTGTTGTTATTTAAATGTCCTGTACTAATTTCTCAGCGATTCCTGCAGATTCCACTGTATATTTCTATACCTAACTCCCATTTCTTATAATTGAGATTTGATAAGATGTGTAACTTATATTTGGAAAAAAAAGTAAAATTAATTCTTTATAAAATAGATGAAGTCTTATATTGTAATGTTCTTGCTCTTCAAATATTTTTTTGTACTTTATACAATACTTATTAACATTATGCATATGTTCTTTTGTAAATTTATGAAAAGGAAATTATTTTTAAGAATTAAGAATAGCAAGTCATTTTTTTCTGACTATTCAATTATCAAGCATTTAATCTTGATAATTGTTTTGCAAAAATTGCAGAAAATGGCTTCATAAATCTCAAGTTGAAAGAACTCGTCATTTCCTGACATTCATTATTATCATTGTTTAGACAGAAAGAGGAACGAATTCTATCTCTAGTGTTAAATGGAAGTAATTTTATTTATATCTACCTTTGATTTTTCTGGGATAGGTTGAAAATATTCTCAAAAGGAAATCAGATAAATGGTACTTCACAGAAGTGTTTTTCTGTTAGAATGAGAATGTACAACCTTGTATTTACACTCATATATTCATGCTCATGTATTTACACTTCATATAAATATGATATTGAAATAATCAACACTAATTTTGTCATACTTCAAGTTTTTGGAAGTTTAAAAATGTAATTTTTAAGTTGGATGTACGCTAAATCGAAATTAAATAAATCAGAGATATCCATTAATTATAAACAAATTCAGGAATGTTGTTCACAGGATTGGTGAAAATATGAACAATTGAACCAAATTAAACAACCTTTCCAACATTTCGGAATCTTTTAATTCGTTCATGAGGGCTAGCATACAGACAAAAACAAAGCGTGAAGACATGAAATTACACCCACAATAATGTGTTATGTTAAACAAAAAAATAAAAGTGATATTACATTATTCACACCTTACTAATAAATTTTACTGCCAAGCATCCTCCAGCACAACTCCATGTGGAGTTGCTGCAGCACATTGGTTCCTACCACAACATGTCTGAATCAGGCCAAGGCCCCAAAGCAAATAAATGGGAAATAGTTGTAGGATCAGAACCCCATGATACAGCCACTCAACCATGCGTATCCAATCAAGCCATTGTTAAAATAAATCAAAATACTGAGACAACTCAAAACTGAGGATTTACCCTATGAACTATATCCCTTACATGAACATAATCCTGTGAATTATATCCCTTATTTCATCATGGTCTTGAACTCTACAATGATTATAAATAAATTATTAGTGGTGTGAAGCTGCAAAAGCGAATTCTATTAGCAACATTTAAAATATTTGAATAAAATATTTAAATTAAAGAAACGCCATAAAAAGTAATAAAATCTTTTTGTAAGAAAGTTTTCCGTACTGAGCAATCAGAGTGATCTTTGCACAATTGTAATAAATTTGAATGATATTGCTGCCATGATTGCAAGAAATGGAAAATAAAACTATTTAATCTAATAATAATCACTTAGAAAAATGCTCTTTGATTGCTATTTGTATGTTTTCATACCAAGTGAAAATTGTAAATTCCATATATTGCTATTTTGTATCCAGGATTTCAAATAAGGACATCACTGGTGCAGATAAAATCTTGACCAAAAATATTATTTTTCTACCCATAAAGATGAAAATAAATATTGTGTTATTAAGCAACAGTGAAGCAAACTACATGCTGAAGAGCACGATACCGATGGTGGCATTGAACTGTTAGGTTTTTTTTAACCATTAAAGAAAAACTTACATTAAATTTATTATTTTTCGAGTTATTTTTAGTTAACCAAATGAGATGTTTTGTAGATGCTATGTTTTTCAAACATGCAATGTGTGTTTCATTGTTGCTAAATTAAGAAATGAAATTATTTTATTCATTCTGTTTCCAGTACTTTGTAGTTAATTTGTTCACAGTGTTCAATTATTTCTGAAGATCTGGACTTTGTGAAGTCATTTACAAAGTTTTCATTTTTACAATTCTCTTTGCACAATAATTTTTAATATTTGATGGTTCCCTATATAATGTATCCAAAGCAATAGATGAGTGAATGACGATGCCCAATTGTGAATTCATGTTGCCAAAATGACGAGACACTATATTTATTTATTTAATTACAAAAAACAGTTAAAAGCCGCATGATATACCATGGGGAGAAATGCAATCTGTGCAGAGGATCTCTGCATACGAGTGTTTTTGGCAAGAACTGATATGAAAATATTCACTCCCATGTAATAAAATGTATTTGAGAAAGCAAAGCAGCTAAAGATTTTGGCTACTTATGCCCTTTATGAGAGAACTGTCTTACTGCCTTGAGAACATGAAGAATGATTATTTTATATTTCCCACTGAACTCAAGAAAACCTGCACAGGTAGTGAAGCTACATTTGACCAGAAGCAAAACAAGACACGACATCTCGACATTTGCCAGGGAAATTGGGCGAAAAACGTGTTGGGGGTTATTGACCCAGAAGCTGAGGTACAATTCTTGTAGGGATATTTAGTTTTTTGGAATTATACAGTGTAAATGGTAACTAATCAATGTAAATGGTATTGTTAAAATCTATTTTTATTTATTTAATGTCCAAAAACATTTAAAAACTGCGTGAAGTTCTTTAGTGAGAAGGTGTATTCTGGGTATGTTTCCTTAAATTTGGGATATCTACTTTCATCCATATACAGTGCTGTAGCTAGGGGCAGGTCAGGCGGGTGGCAGCCAGGGGAGCAACCCTCAGGGATGCGCACTTTACAAACCCACAGCCTGAGGCCACTGGAGTGCAGGCACAAAAGATTTAAACATGGTGCTAACACACATAAAATAAACTTGCACTTGATTATGATAGCAGAATGTATTTACGCAGATTATGAACGGCGCTCCTATGCTGACACAGAAAATTTATACCAAACTCTAAATAAAAGAATAAAAAGACAATTTGCGGCCGTCATTTAAATTTTCATCGCAAATTTGGATTCAGTCACAAAGTTGGTCAATTTCATCTAGACGGTTTCGGGGACTTACGAGTTCCCCCCCCCCAAATATATATATTTTTTTCAAATCTGTAGAAATATATGTATATGTATATATATATATA